GTTTTGCTTTTGAAAAACAAACCCATGTGATTACATGGTTGTGGTGCTCCTAAAATGAGTCATCAGCTGTCTGACAAAGCTTACTTCAACTCCATCTAGATAGTGACACATCATCTGGCAAGTGGGAAGGATTCAGACACAAATTTGAAGTACTATATTTTCTGCACCTGTTAGGTGCCTGGTATTGACTGAATGCATGTTCTTAAACACCGAAGGAGTTTTGCTTTGTCTGTTTGTGTTGTTTTCACTTGAGGTGGTTGTGCAGTGAAGCTTATTACAATTACAAATGTGCATTCTTCTTCTGACAAGTCTACTTCTCTACTAATGAATCATTATTATTGCTTTTTTATTAAAAAAAATATACTAAACTTTTTAAGATTTTCAAAATCTGAAGTTACATCCAAATTTTGGAACTCATCTCCTGTTATTTTATACAATAAATAAACGAATGAGTGAATAACCATTTGTGTGGTGAAATCCTAATTGATCCTGTGATTAAAAGGAATACTGTAGAATGCACAATATGGCAAATTCAGGGACTTCATCTTATTTCAGACTTCATTTGCCTGCTAAGGCATCCTGATACACCACACTAGAGAATGCAACATTTAGCAAATGACATATCATTAGAAAAAAGCAAATTCAGTCAATATCGCATAATAAATTGACCTTTAGCATTTAATTCTGCAGATCGACATCTTTCCAATTCTGTAATTGTAGGACTCATTAGAGGGGGGTGGGGTGATGTTCAGGAGGATTTGTGCAATGTGGCCTTGGTATCAGTCAAAGTCCCTTCCATAGTTATCAACTGGAAGATTTGAATGCAATCATCCCAGAATAATTGGTTATCGGTTAACCAGTTGATTGCTTTTCTTTGTGAACAGTAAGCTGGTGAAAATGAAGCCGTTTTGCCATGTGTGTGTAGCTCGTGCACCTCTTCCCTAGATGGAATTTGATTGTCATCTCTCAGGTATCTCCCAGCCAGAGACTCACTGCCCACGCAACAAAATAAACTCACTGAAGACATGTCAGGCACCCCAGCATGTTTGGAATACTTTTCAAGCTCCAGAGAGTTATGCCACCATAACAGGCTCATAATACATAAAATGAGCCCTGTTGCACAAGCAACCTGGAACAACGTTGTTTTATTCTCTTTATTGATGAATTTGCTAAGGAAAAGTCATGCTGTACATACATATATATATATGTATGTACAGCAACAATCATTAAAATATTCCAATATGTGGTTTCTGAAAGATATGCCCCAAATTTTGATTCTGTGAACAGTCACTTTCACATAGGGTGGCTTGATGGTAATTTCCTTGGCAATGAGGAATCTGCAGAATGGAAGTGGCTGACATTAAATGTATCTCAGATGCCCTGGGCAGCCTTCAACCTTCACCCTCCCTCACATATTACACATATGGTCTCTACCCTGAGAGAACAGTGGAGGAGAACCTTATCAGCCCCTTGGCAGGGAACGTGTCTCCTATTATTACTGGCCTTGCACTACAGTTCACCTTTCCTACATAGCGCATTACGAACAGAGGTTTTATATCAGCAGGTTTCACAAGATTGCAGTTCTCTACTGACGCTTGTTTGGCAGGCTTTATTTCTTAATTTAGTCAGTACACTGAATGTCTGGTTTAAAAAGGCTCTAGATAAAGGGCAGTAGTCCGTTATCTCCAATAGTATGTTTGCAGACTCGTGCTGAAATAAATACAAAAAAGAATGATTTATAAAATCAAAAATAAAAGCTAACGTCTAATACGATAAAGAAATTCCAGCTTTATTCTCCCTGCATACTCTGCATTTCTCTGAGTATTCTGTGTACGTTCGTCCCACTTTGTGCCCTATTCCATGGGGACTGGCTCCTCATTGCCTCAACCTCAACCCCTATCAATAATTAGTGTCTTTCTGGTGATGGATGGATGTTTGTGCATTCTGTAGGGGCTCCTTTTTCTGTGGACTGGTTAAATAAACAGTTTTGTAGTACCGTGAATTGTAATGAGAAACGTTTTGAATAATTGTTTTGAACAATTAGAATAATTTTCCAGTTAACGTGGACAAATGTGTGAATATATACATTTAACAAGATGCAAATACTTCTGTGAGTCACCTCATGCCTATCACAGATTTCACCACAACAACGTGATAGGCTGTCTTCTCGGGAAATTATCATTGTAATTTGTTGAAAATCCCTGCACTCAAGAAGCAACAGATTTTAAAAAAACAGTCACACTGAGTGATGTGTCCCACAGCATTTTGTTCATTAGGCCAGACAGCTGAATCTTCAGTTTAAGAATTATAATCCAGAGAACCTTACACCAGTTGATGGTACAAATCAATTCAATAAACAATTTAAACAATTCATTCCTAAAAGCACGCCGTACAAGCCCTGTTTTTGTGGCCTTATGGAGAAAATCCTTCTCCTGTTTATTCAAACATATGAGGAAAAAGTCATTTTCTTTACTCAGATCCTTGGGGAATATCATGATCTGAGGGTTGTGCTTTTGTATAACCCAAGCAGCACCCTCACCAATGAGCTCTGTTTGTAAGGTTTCACAGAATGCAGAAGGAAGATTCAGCAAAAAAATGAAGATTTTACCCGAAGGGGTGGGTCACTCTTTTTTGGGGGAAAATCAAATAAGAAAATTTCAATGCAAGCACAAAACCTGAAACCCCCCCAAAACAGCTGAGAAATAAACATAACTGACTGCCTCTTTGTTGTCTTCAAAATGTCTTCAGCTTGGAGTCTTGATAGGTTTGAGGGTTATGTGAAGAATGTTTTGCACTACCTATTATATTGTACAACTCTCAGTCCTTCTGAAGTCAAGTGTCCACTCAAAAGTGTAATGGCTGAGAAACAAGTAGTAATTGCAGACATGAATGTCTCTTTGAAGTAACTATGGGAAACATCGGTTTGCATTTACAGGTTCTCACTAATGATAATTGATAGGAGGAGATACAAATCTTCTCGGGTAAACAGTAAGTCGAAGCTTCATGATACATGACTTTTCTATGTACATAACTTCTTCACAGGTCCTCTCTTGCCCTCCTGGTTGTAACATGATGTGCCCCCCATAGCTTCCTCCATCAACTCCTCTTCCTCATTGATATGCTACAGCTCAAGTCAACAGTAGCCCCTAGACCTGCAATGTGTAAAAACGACTCGAGATTGAGTAGGGATTTGGGAGAAAAAGCACCATTTAGAGGAGTTTACCTTCTTAAGAGGCAGCTTGGCACGGATTTCATGATTCATTTTTTCTTTAGATGGGCAGAGGACCAGCAACCCAGGGCAGGATTTCAAGTGGTAGCTACCAGGAAAGCACTCTTGCGAGGTACAAACCTTATTGTTCATGAAAGAACAACCACTAATCGAGAGTAGCTTGACAGCACTGGAGTGTGACATTGCTAACATATCCACACTGGCATTACAGCAATGATGAGAATGAAAATTTAAGTCTTTCATAGGAGCTGGAGGTGGGTAAATGAGGATTTGATGACTGTGTTATATGGCCCAAGGTAGGTAGCCCACAATCTGAATCCAGCCAAATCCTATAAAACTAAACCATTTCTTTAGAAGAAAACAAAAAAATACTTCAATCAAAATTGCTCGTTATCTGAGGAATATATTCGGTGACTATGGAGGAAAAACAATATTGTCATTTCGTCTCATCTTAACGCTAAAGTTAAGGCAGTGTTTTTAAACTAGCTTACAAAAACAAAAATTGGGAATATACTCTTGCTGATATTATTTTTCACGTTTAGATTCTGCTGCTGAATAGCAGTCCCATACCTTCACAGGGAATCCATTAGAGATAGACCCTGAACTCTGAAGGACACAAGTCAAAGGCAATACAAGAAACACCATGAATAATGTATTTTGTAAACCTATTGCTAATTTTTGGAGCACTGCATAAACATTTCAGTTGTGAACTGATTTATTTGTAGTCAATAAATTCAATGTTCATTTGTCTCCAATGATTTTTGTATGATCGTTCATAACACATATTTCAGTTTAACAATGAGTTCAGGCTCAAATTTAAACAAGTAATACGACTTTGTGTACTTCATGGTACGTTTGTACAAGTCCGATATAAATTGCATAAAATATTCACTGCTCACCATTACATAAAAAGACAGAAGAAATTCTTCTGCCATTCTCAGAAAATAACACAGATTTGTAAGATTTGCTTGAGAACATGTCAGAGAATATGGTTTCTGCTTGACTGCTTGCAATATTTTTCATCATTACCAGCTACAAATGGATATCTGTCTTCCAGTACTCACAGGAAATTACATCCTACTTTGACACAAGCTCCTCATTGTGAATAACACCAACCACTGAGGTGAGAGCTGGAATAAATAAATTGTTCTAAACTTCTCTCACCTATGAGCTGGATTGATCCATAAAGAGCTTAAATCATTACAGGTATGATCAAGAAAAAATCTTGCTTTTTGTTTTTCATGCATTTTTCAAAGTCATCTTACATCCTAGTGCACGAGAGAGGACTTTGGCAGCAGCAAGGAACAGTGTTGATTCATGTCTCTCAAGTGAAAATGACTCCTGCATCAGAATCCTTGTAAAAGCTCATGCCTCTTAGCTCAATCTTGTATTTTGCTGCCTGCAAGCTGACTTGTTTGCAGTTGTTTAGAGATGTTACGGTATCTTAGGCAATGAGGTTCATAATACATTAATTCAGATATCTTAATTCAAAACAATAATATGAATATTTTATGAAGTACTATTAGGGTCTTTGTTTAAGTTTCTAAAACAGCTTATCCACTGGAATAATCAGTAATTGTCAAAATATGGCGTTACAGCTACATTATTCCAGTCTCTGAAAACAATGCAAAAAATGACAAGGGTCAATAAGTTGCAAAGGAACCGGTAAAGGTTTATTCCATGCTGAAAATAAATGAGACAAAGTTTCGGCTATGGAGCCTTCTTCGGGTGTGTCACCACATCACACAGCTGAAATGTTGGGCCTCTTTTCTTATCAGCATGGAATAAACTTTTACCTCTTCCTTTGAAGCCTACGCATGCTGATGCAGCTACCTACTTGAACTGAGTCAATAGGTCTGTTTTGTATGCAACTGCTAACTAAGAGGCATATCAGAGATACCTATGAGCAGGAAATTTGAATAGTACAAGAAACCTTGTTAGAAGGTTTAGAAGATTCTGGCTTTATTTATTTAACATATTTTTGAATGTATAGACTTCAAGACAAAATGTTTCCAGGATGCACCTTAAAAATTAATTTGGTGCTCCATGTAACATGTTATAATGCAAATGATGTCTGAAATTTGGTGAAAAGATTATTGACTGCACAAATATACAGTGTGGGTCAGAGATATACATAAAGCTCATTGAGAACAGGCTGTCTTTGCAATATTTAAAACAATACCTCTTATTTTTTTAGGAGGATGCTAAGCCCAATGGAAGCTAAACTGCTCAGTAATTTCAATGAATGCATAGGGGAGAAGTTTTGAAAATGCACTATCACTGACAATGTTAACAGCCAGTGCGTCTACATAAATGACAAGTGACATCCAGCGCGAGCAGCACTTAGACATTATTACTCTCAGGACAGGCATAGGCTTAGTGCTCTGTCTGCAAGATCAGATCTCTCTTGTAAAAACTATTTGCAGCATGCAGGGCTTTTCTGCCAAATGGTAGAATACATGTATAAAAAGAGCCTTTATTGTTAAAAGGCTTAAGCCATCATCTCCATCCTCCCCCCCCAAAAAAAAACAATAGGTAAGCTGAGTTGTTAGATCCTGTTATTCAGGTAAATACCCTGAACTGATGTAATTGTAATTAAGCAGAACCTAAGCTGGTTAATATAGTTCTAATATATTAACTGCCTCCTGAGAATTCTGGAGCACACGTTCTATAAAAAGGTCAATGACGTCTTGACTTGAAATAATAATAAAAAAACAAAAAACACTTGAAAAGCCTGGTCTGGATCACTTGGCCTCACCACACTGGTAAATTGCCAAGGGGCAGGAGGAGGGGGCATTTAGAGTTTTCAGTTCTTACCCTGTTTCTTGAGAAGATTTACAACAACTTTTGTTTTCTTCAGTAAATCTGAAAGCAAATCGATTTACAAGTACAAATAGGAAACTTTAATATCTGTCTTAATAAAAGAACAGAGTCTCATAAACTACACTGTGCTGTACAAAATATTTTTTTTCTTCCAAGTAGCACCTGAGTGCCCGTGAAGTGTCTTTTGCTTTGTGTGAACATCATAGTTACACGACTAATAAGGTTCAGTTTGAAGCTGGAAATTAAATCTGAAAAATAAATAAATATCAGAGAGCACTGCTGTTGCAAGGAAGCATTTTTTCCCAGAGGTGTTGATTTTGTAAAGCTGAAGTGGATGTTCCAACACATGATATTTTGTTTCTTTTTTTTTTTCATTCCAGTTCTATTATACAAACTGCATAAAGCATGGAATCCAAGCTGAGGTTCGATGTTTTAATCCTGAAGAGACGAGACGAGGGGAAAAAAGCGCAGAGATGAATGGTGGAAGAAGAGATGAAGAGGGACCTGTTCAGTGAAACCGATGCACTCCAAACCGTGTGTCTCTGCAGTCCTGGACCTCAATCTGACAAGACAGGAGAAAGAAGAAACATAAGAGTGATCAAGAGCTTAAAACGAAACTTTTAAAACAAGCTTTTAATCCTTTTTCCATTTGATCCATTTCCTCACTTCTGCATGACTGAAACAAGTTGAGATCCTTTAGTTTTTTTAGAAAATGGAGATGGGAAGTACAGTACCAGTGGGAATGCAGCCTAGAGTCCATCACGTGTTACAGAATTACAAGCTGACAACATTATTTATCACTTTGGCCAACATCTTTATCCAGAATGAATTTACTATTCATAAAAATGCAGTACAAGCAACAGTACAAACTAAATGTGGTGGATTCAAATGCAACATATTTGATCTTGAACATACAGCAGAATAGCAAATTAATCAAAAATATATTTAAATACTGTACTGTGTGCATGTGTGATATACAGTATAAAATACATATATTAGGCATATACTTTAAATACGATGTTCCAATGTTCAATACATACAGTAACAACAGATCCTATGCAGTGCATGTATTGGTACATAACTGAGGATATAACCTGAGTACAAAACAAGTTTGCACATAGTCCTTAAACATGGTTAGACAAGTATCCCACCATAATGCATAGCACTACAACCATAGCAGAACACATTTGTATCAATCTAATGTGTCCTAGACATCACAGCTTTCTGCACTTCACTGTCAAATGCATTTCATATGTTGGACAAGGGACTGAAGATCTGGAAATCAGTGGCTTCAATGTCACGGCTGTAGGGGTGTTGTCTAGGACTTCCCACCAATAAAGCCATAAAACTCTTAAAAGCAGCTGGCAGTGTGTGGACTATTGTTATCTTGTTATCAGGATGAGCAGGATGGTGGCTTAATGCATCAACCTAGGCCAGTTTCTTATGATTGACCACCTGCAAGTAGTCCAGTACGTGACAATGATGTTCAGTGCTTGACCATGTTTACACATTGCCACCAATCTGTACACCGATACCCGGTATTTCCATGGACAGGTGGCATACGTCCATGAGCTCTTGATGAAACACACATTTTACAGGGCTCCAACGATTCAAATACACTAGGGCAGACGGTTTTCAACACAAGACTTTTGTGCAGTATATCTTAAAGACCTGAATATAATTGTACTTGCTATACTTGGGTTGCTGTCTGTGATGCACAGCTATTAAATTAAGTGGAGGGTTGCACCTTAAAAATGTTAAAAAAGACAGAAGATTAAAGCAGGAAATATAGCCAATAGTCTTGTGTGGCTCAGCCCCGCACAGGAAATCTTGTATAAATTGATTATTGAACCATCTGGGTCTGTATTGGGACATTTCATTTTTTGTTAAAAATCTCCTATGATGCACTGTTGAATGACCTGAACTGTAGTGACGTCATGTGTGAGCATTATATAATTAGAGCAGAAATGGAACAGCTGTCAGCATGGTGAAGACTATTTTAAGGTCGTGCTACTAGGTTTTCCATCTTGGGCAGGAAAGTAAAAATAGAGGGGAAACGTCTATATGCAAGCAATAAATAATTGCTGGCATGCTTTTAGCATCCCTCCCCCCAAAAAACAAAAGAGAAAATATATCTGGCTAAATTTAGTACATATTTAAATACAGACTGTAAAGAAAAAGTGTGTACAGTAAGTATACACTATGCTTAATGTGAGCCTCCACTGGATTTACAATATTGTTAATTTTTCATGCTACAATCAAAACTGAATAGAAATATCTATGTTTATACATTAATGTGTTTATTTTACAGAATGATAAATGGCTATTTCTTTCTGTGTATAACAGGAATTCTACTCTAAGGAAGATATGGCATGACCTGATTTTATTAATTATTTATGTCTGAAGGAGCATTGTACTAACGTTGCTCATGCATTTTAAGACTAACTGGATTAAGAATAACCAGGTGTTCAAAGCTGTCACTGAAAGCAGATTTCGGCACTTTTTTTAATTCCTCTCGATGGAGGTTGAGAAAAACAGGGGGCTAAGGGAAAAAAGGCAGTCAATGAAATACATTTTGTTCCAGTAGAAAACTAGACAATTACACCCTGACAAAAAGCAACACACCTTGTAAGTGGCATCATAAAATCAGTAGGATTATCCAGGTCGAATACGTAAATAAAGACCTTATGAATGGCTATTTCTGTGACTGCAGATGTAGGAAGATGGTTTGGTTCTCTTCATGTTCATCGAGCAATGGTGAAAGCAATTTCAGGCTCTCCAAAACATTCAGGAAATGTGTTTGGGAAAGCACAAAAACAGCACTGGTGCTATGATTTGAGGGCTGCCTAAATTGCACTGATTAAGATATAGCCACTGAGTTATAATAGGGAAACTCAGGAAAAGAGTGAATGTAACACTCAAACACTCCTATATGAATTTAGGAATTTTCTCAAATGGCTGCATTTAAATTTAGAAGAGCCAATGAAAATTAAATTTGTCCAGATAAAATATCTTTAAGAATTGAGATGTGCAGATATGTCTGCAGCGAACAAAAAAATTTGTCTGAAAGTAAAGCTCCTATGAATATATTTACCATCTGTTTCTGATAAGCAGATTTAGAGCACCATATGGTATTAAAGAAGTTTGTTTTTGCTACAATGTATTAACACTTTTTTTTGCTTGTTCTCCAGTTATGAAACTTAAACATTTCAGGGTAAAATGGGTCTTTTAATAATCTTTTTGCATCACTGTTACACATGCTATGTCATGTTTTCTATGACAGAAAATTAGTTCCAGGCATTACTGGTTTGAACATGTTATGTCATTAGTCAGTGCTTGGGATTCCCCAGGCAGTAGTGCACAATTGGCAGATCACTGCCAGACTAGGGAGACTGTTTGTCATCCAGGATCTTCTTGGCTCTCAACGAGCCAGTGACTCCTGTGACTTGCTGGGCAGTTGCACGCTTTCAGTGAGTAAGAGACACAGCATTCATCCAATACCCTCTAGTTCTTCTGTGAAACACTGAGGAGCCTGCAGATCTTCAAAAGATGAGTGACTTTGATGGGCAGTTTTGTCAAAATTGCATATCTGCGGGTACTCATTCTCAAGATGCAAGACTGTAGTATATACTGCTGGGAAACATTTTTTCCCCTGCTTAGGAAACAAAAAACATGTTTTAAGACTTTAGCAAAACATCTTTCTCAAAACAGGATGTAAAGGATGGAGTTTGATGTTACTTTTTTTTCAAATACTGAAAAAGTAAGAAAAGCTAAATTAAGTCTGGTGACAGACTGACAGATTGTTCATTGTACAATTCTGCACACATTTCTGATAATCCGAACATGACTCCAGAATTCTTTAAGATTTTTAAAATGTCATGCTCCACAAATCAAATCTTTGCTTCACTGATATCAAAAAAACAACAAGGCTCCCTCTCACTGCTGTGGTTATCAACATATAATAAAATTCAGCTCTACATTTTGTCACTTTCTCAAAGCAATATGTTACAGTCTGCACTACAAAACCTAATACAAACTTACTATTCATTTTGGCTTTATTAAATGTAAATATTTTTAAGTCAACAACAAAGGCCTTTCTAAAGTTTTACTCAATTTATTTATTTCCAGAAGTCTTTATTTATTTTGAGGTCTTATAGATGATGTTTTAAAGGGCAATTGGATCTATTTACAGCAATTATATAGACAACAAATGAATCTAGATATGATTGAAGTGCTCACAGTTGTAGTTAATAAAATAATTACTCCACAAAAGACAAATTTGACTGAAGTGAAAACTTCAAGACCCTTGTTTCCTGCAGCAACTGAAATACTCTCTGGGGCTTTTAGTAAAGTTTAGGTTCCTGTGGCACTTTGTTTACTGAACTAACATCCAATGCACATAAACAGATGCACAGGTAATTACAATGGATTGATATCTGAGCCTTTTAAAATTTAGACATGATTACAATCCAAACAAGGTCACTGTGGTATGAGATCAGTTTATATGCAGATGACATCTTATTCTGTCTCTGGCAACCAGACATTTCACTGCCATCAAAGTTGTATATCACTTGCAGAACCATTCCAAGTACAAAATTAACTGTCCTGATGAGAACTTCTGTCTTTACAGTGCAGTACAAATTAAATTTAGTCTATCTGATATTTTATCTGGGTCCATTTCAAAGACAGGCAAGCTGCTGATCTTTTCACCCTTTACACCCTCCTGTAGAACAACCATCAGAGCTTACCTTTCATTCAACCAAATAAGAGCAAACAGCTTTCAATAACTCTAGTTTACAGTGTCTTGAAAACATACAGAACCGATATACAACTAAAGATCTCCTCTACCGTGTCAAGGAGACCTCTAATACAAAGTGACATTAAGATATATAGCTAACACCTCAGTCAATCAGGAAGTACAGCATGTCTTTAAAAAGAAGTGTGAATTTAGTATTTCCCTTTGTGTTCCCTCTGTTTTTTTTTTCCTGTAGAAAAGTCCATTTCTAACAACTGTCATTCAACAGTGGTGTGTTGATACCCTTATTATTACAATATACATCAGAATAGAGTCTGAGGCATTGCAATATGGGCGTGCACAGGGTTCGATTTTTTGCTTTTGCTTGCATGCACTTCTTTCAGGAGAAATTAATAATTTCTGCAGAAATCTGAGGAGGAATTATGCTTAAACTTATGCATCAGTAACCATCTACGTCTGTCAAAAAAGTAAGAAGCGCCCGAGAAACTCTGGAGCACATTATGAGGATATATGCTATTATACAATATGTAAATTTATGTTCCCCATACTATTTCTCTCTCTCAAACCATTTTTCTTACTTCAAAAAGAGCAGGATTAGCTAAAACTTTCCTGTATCTCTTACTCTTACTCTTACATCCCTCTGTACTTGCTGTCGAAGTGCTACATACAAGGGCACTGCATTCTGGGAGTTCAGCTGTCTTGCCAGTTTTAGAAGCAGGCAAAACCTTTAGTTCAATTGAAAATAACTACTCCAGCAATATTAGAAACTCTGAAATAAATCAGTCAGGCTCGGTGAAATAGTCTCATATACTGTATATACATCCCGTGCGTGCAGTACAGAGAAATCACCTTGAATGCATCTTTAAAATAAATGTGAGAATTTGTTGGAAGTTTGCTGGTGTCATGAAAAAAGCAAAGGAAAATCTAACACACCAAATAAATTACACTGATTAGAGTCAGCGTGCCCCTGACTTGTCAAAGTGTCGATAGTTCAGCACATAGAGATTTTGCACCTTATTGCAGAGAGCATCTGGAACTCCCAAGCGGAGAGTTATTAAATGAAGTATGACCAGAGAAAAACACCAACACTACATCACTGGGACAGCAAAACCCCTGTACAAGCCAACAATTCATTAAGATACCAAAGTGCTTTTCCAAAGGTGGACTTAGCAGTGACAATTAGAGTGTCTGAGCAGTCGTTTCTTCGATCTGAAGGTGGTTTCATAGTCTTGGATTATTGCATGGACAGCATTTGTTGCCACAAATTTTCAGATCTATACTTTTCAATTTATTTCTTACCATAATGCTAGAAATGTCAGCACTTTGAGACTTTCTTAATAGGAAAAGAAGTAGGCTTTGCACTTTTTTCTCTGGAGCTTTTAGTGATTTTGCTGAAAATAGAGACAACTTTAAATACTGTTTACAGGCTTAAAGGTACAAATAAATGAGAGTGACCTTCCTGTCCTGCTTGGTAGTATCATGAGCCACCTTGACTGGTGAGCTGTTACACTTGGCAATTCAGTTGCAATCTTTTAACCTACAATATTTTTAGGCTTCCCCTCCTTCATAGTGTTTATAAATGCAGATTAATGCTGGTAGTTCTCCATTGCCAGCTGTCTGTAAATGAAAATCATGTGAATTGGTCTAGTCAGAAAAAGCTTTAGAGGGCAATACAGCTTTTTTGCAATATGCGTAGTCTGCAAGTGTCACATGTCTAGAAGCCCTATAAAAACATTAAAAACATTTCTATTAAACTGCTGGTAGACACGTTCCAGATTCCCTCAACATTCCAGGTCTGATTGGCTACTCCAAAATTTTGCAGTTTCCAGAGGAGGGTTTCAAGTAGATCCTACACTTGAGGTGTTTATCCCCAATACATTCAGCAATAGCTATGGGACTAAATAAAACCTGAATGGCCTCCTCTCTTCTCTGGGCTTTCTGATGTACTGAGCCTTCAAAAAGGCTTTTGAAACACCAAATAATGATGTTACCGTGTCAGTAGATCAAAATGCATTAAAATGCCTGATTATGTACTGTACATGAAATTAAAGTGTGCATTGGAAACTGTCCACTCTCTTCAAAGCAGAAGGTGTTTTCCCAAGAAGGTACCTAGAGCTGATTTCTGTTATTTCTGAGAGGACGCTAGTTTGCTCTATAAATATTAGGAATGAACAGGAACAAAAGGGACCCATTTGCAGTGAATGAATGCTTTACTTTCAATGAAGGATTTCTGTGTTTGAAAGTTTCCAAAATAATATTTTAGAAAGGCAAACTTTAAGACATTCTACTTTGTAAAAACTTTGTAAAGTCAACACATCAGAGCTTTCTGGATCACAAGGAGGTATAATTGAGTCTGCAGGTACTGTCTGTCTTGTAAGCTCCCCTGAATTATAAGTGAGCAGAGCAATTAAGCAGCAATTTTAAATGTATTCTGAAAATATTTCTTGTACTTAGTTTTGGAAAAAAAAACCTTTGAAAATCTGGCAAAGTGTACTTTGCCCAGTGACAGATTAACATTAACAATGGATATGAAAAAGATATATTGTTTGCTGCAAGCTCCTGAAAAACAAACATGATGTTCACAATACTGTATTCAGCAAAAGGACAGGTGGTGTTGTTTGTGATTCTGACATTTTCTCTTTACATATATTTTATTCCTTTAAACCAGTCTTGCCTGGAGGATCTTTAATATGACAAGCTTCCACCTCTTGTTTTCAAAAATGCCCCCCAGTAGGAGAAGAGACTAAAAAAAGACTGCGTAACTGCAGTGAGAGCCCAGCTCATATGACCAGATGCATTTAGCTCAAGCGCAGTTGGTGATGACATGTAAATATTGAACATGACATCACATTAGCCAAAGCGATCACACACAAACTTAGTAAACCACACAGTAATAGACCTGGACAAGAAAGGTAATGCATTGTCAGGACACTGCCACACAACTGCTGTACAACAACGACGCACTACACATCACACCCAATATTGTGAACTTACCCGTGAAACTGCCAAATCTGCAAAGATAGAATAGAAATTACATTTTTAGTTTTGCGGTAACAAATGGATTTTTTAGGACTAAAGTAACCATGGACTGTATTCATGAATTATTTCTCTTTAATTTCTTCTGAAGTCTTTTTGCACTGTACATTTTAAGGAATCAGGTATATCAGCATGTATTGTGGTTTAGGGCAACAACAAATACCAGCTATTTTCCGGAGAGTGGCTACTGTATATAGTCTACCTGAAAGTTTTACGACAACAGTAGGTTTCCAAAATGTGATTAACATTACTGTGCTTGCACACATCAACCACAGCCTGTCGTGAAAACTTGTTTTGCTGTTTTCACAAAAGCATTTTGGAAAAGGTGACATTGATCAATGGCGACTGATCTTTTCTGGGGATTTTCATTAGAAATTTTCAGAATTCTGAGAGACTGAGAGAGCCTGAATTAATATATCAGATACACTGTGAGGCCAGTGGCTATTCAAACTATTAACAGCTTTTCTTTCCAACTTTGGAAAATTCATTGTAGACACTGCTGATGTATTTTAAGAAATCTCTGAGCAAGAGGAGACATTTGATTTGGTTTCTGAAGTATTTTTCTGTTCACTTGGAAGTTTTTGGGTGGTTATAAGGCGTACATATTAATTTGTGAAATTATCTACAGCAATAAATATTCTGGAGAGCTCTTATTAACAAGGAATTATAGTATAAGCATTGCTGTAGCTCAGATAATTACTCATCATCAATGTTTGAAAGCAAAAAATGATATAGGGAATCCATCTACACACTGTAGGTACATCTATTGGTATATCAAATACTATACATACTAGCACATAAATCTCATAGACTTACTTTTCTTTCCCCTGACGGAACTCGCAAAATAATTAAGGTCTCCAGCATTTCATTACAGGAGATTACACGAGAGTAAAAAAAGACTCCTGCAAAAGGAGGGAAAATCCATTCTTTGTGGATGCCTTTCCTCAGATGTAGGTTCAGAAGAATTGTGTTTTTAATCCTATTGCGTATTGAACCTAGTAAACATGGAAAACTGTGAGGCTGTTGGCAGAATGACAGAAGCAAAGCCCTCAAAACTCTTTAGAGTCTGTAATATTTGTCCTTTCATTTGAAATCTCAGACAAAAGGTCATATAATTAGCATGGCAGTCATCTCACCTCATGCTGAAATACAGTAGGTAAAATGTCTTATTACCAGTAGTGGTAGTGGGCATGATTTCACAGGGTGAACAGTAACGTAATGCAACTGTAAGTTTACATTCTTTGATTTATTTTAACTACATTTAACTGTAGTATGAAACTTCCACTGCAATTCACTGTGCAGGCACTGTGTTCCTCTCCAGTCTAATTCCCTGCATCATTACTCAATCATTAAGGTATTACTGATTAGAGACCTGGCTTGCTTGTGAACAGATAAGAAAGCACAATACAAAAAATGTTATGTGAAACAGTATGATTTCTAAATGATTGCAAGTATCATTTGTTCATAATGGCATATACGTTATATCCATTGGACATGCTTTGAACACAGATTCATCCTAGCAAGCATTACTCCAAAGAGTAACACCAACAGTGAAGCTGGATTGTAGAGTTTACCCCCACTTTATTGTCCACAAAGTGCTGGTATAATTTTACACTAGTACCTCTTTAAAAGTTATTTTTTCTTAGATTTTCCTTAAAGGGTACTGCAGTGATACAGTTTGCAAATGTCCACTGTCAGTACAGTTAGATCTAAATAACAGAAAACAAATACTGAACATGTATTTTGCTTATATTGACATTAAAAAATAATGTATGATCCAAAGTAGCTTAAAATTCAACTGGAGAAGGTGACACTCAAATATTCTGGAACTCCCTTAAAACAGTAAATTGAGAAATATAACTTTAGTTACTTAATTTTGCAGAAGAATTAATTTATTTCATGAATATATAAGATTTTTAGTCAATTTAATAAGATTAATTAACAGATTCTAACAGTTAAGGCCATGATATATTTTGACTTTAATTCATTGCTACCTTTTAAGCTGCATCAGACAGATTTCCACTACAAACTATAACAAACTCTAAAAGGATTATATCTCAGTGATTGACCTGCAAGGTATATGAATTTGTACAGGTAGTGTGCACAGAGGTGGGGGTTTAACACTTAATTGTGTTGGCTATATTTTTCCATACAACAAAAAAGAAATGTCATAATCGATTATATGGAATAAGAATGGAATGGTGATGTAAATATACTCATTCTTTCTTTCTTTGCTGATGGAGCAAAGCTTACATAAAGACCAAAAATCTATATTAAACTTTAATTTCGTTTTACTTTCCTTTGTGACCACCAGAGGGCATTATTTTAATCACTTAAAATAGTGATCCAATAGTCTCTGCAAACCAATACTGTTCTTCAACAATGGTTAAGATCACAGGTTTAATTCAAACACGCCACACATACTGTACTTTATACAGTAGACTGAGCAAAACTTGTAAGGGAAAGCAATGTCAACATTTTACCTTAAATTGTAGAGAGATAAGAAATGCAATATTAAAATTTCCACAAAAACTGTTAGAGGAAGGTTCTGTTTTATAACATAATTTGTACTTATTAATCAGAAGTTCAAAATAACGAATCTGCATTTTTTTGTATTTCTTATACTCGTACACACTTTATTGCATTTAAATCTGAAAGCATAGCTTGAATGTCTCACCTAATACTGCTGAGAAAACAAGAAACTGCTGCATAATAAAGGCTGCATGCAGGTCACCTTTACTGAATCAAATCTGAGGGAAGCCCCTTGCTCAAAGCACAGCAGTACACATTTGATTTCAATGCAAAAAAAACAGAGCTATGTCCAGATCGCTAACCACTGCTTATTGACAGCACTACACTATATGTGCAAGGAAGGGATGATAAAAGAAATGACATTCAGCATTATGTAAAGAGCATGCTAATTCTTGGGTGAGCCACTATATTCCCATGAATAAAAACATCCATCTCTCCATTTTATGTTTAGCCTGATTTTTAACTGAAATTGCTATGTGAATTTAAGATTTATAGATGCATGCTGCTGATTCTTATAATTACAAGACTGTGTGGCAGAAAGTAAGGGTGCCATTCATTACAACATACTGCAAAAGAGAAAAAGTGAGCTTTAAATACACATCAGTGGAAACTTTACACATTTATAATAATAATAATAATAATAATAATAATAATAATAATTGCTTACACTTATTTTCTGGACACTCCACTCAAAGCGCTTTACAGGTAATGGGGACTCCACTCCACCACCACCACCAATGTGCAGCATCATGCACAAACTTGTTTTTTATGAGACAAGTATTATTAATATTTATGTAAATTCGAAGAAAATACAACAAAACATACAACTCCAGACAACTGTGACAGATTTACTGTACAATAAGAGAGTCCAATGTTCTTAATATTGTGAAATGTGATTTGCAGTGCTGAAGGTGCAAATACAAAACTAGTACAATCAGACCATGATAACTGAAATGTTCTTTTTAGCATTATACTAATAATTAATGTCAGAAGAGTAATGAAGAATATAAAATAAGACTGTCATTCATTTTACAGTTGAGCATTTTGTCATTAATGTGCAGAGCATTTTAAAGGAGCTAGGTACTGTATATAATATCATTTTTAATATCAAGTATCTATATATTTGTACAGGTTTCTGAAGCATTAAAAAAAAATATATCAAGATATTGGATTAAATATTTTCTCCCCGTAATCCCTGTTGGACTTGGAATTCATGAGCCACTGTATGTTCATAAAGAGCTGAGTTCTTCAATATCTTTGATGACATCATTCCGGCATATCAGGATGTCATAAACTATGCATCTACAGGGGTTATGGGAGACATGTGCAGATTAATATTTTAACATTTCTATAAGACAATAATGATTCTAACAGATTTTATTATGTGCAGGACACATGTAAGCCTTACACCCTGCCTCAGTCTACAACTATATACAGTATAATACGTGCAGTCTTCATTTCAACCACATACAAAACACCAATACAGGAGACAAACAGGACAAAATCAGAAATGGCCAGCTCTTCTCTGGCTGTGTGGAGACAACACAGCTTTTTTTAACGCAATGTCAATTTAGGGAAGACTAGGAAGAAATGTGTTTTGAAGAGGAGCACGCAATTTGTTAAACTGAGTTGTGTCAATTGCTTTCTAGTGGTTTTTATTTGAACAGACTGCCTGCTTGACTTGTAAAAATGAGATTGATTCAAGTGTTTAGAAAATTATGATTGATAATTAGTATCTTATATACTGCTTTTTGGTCCTCCAAGACAAGGGTTTGTTACTTTTGCTTAAACCATATGACTAATAACAACACTGAAGCATCGACAAATGCAATATTCATACATAGATGGTACCATTCAGTCCGAGCAGCTCTGCCTAGAATTAGGGCTTTCAGAAATAAAGCTACTGCAAATATCTGCTCAAGCAAATCAAATAAACGCAACTCTAACCCTCTTCGAAAAAGGAGTTTATACAGTAAAATGGTTCATGCTTATGTATATAGCATAAACTGCAAATTAAACAAATAAATGAAATGAAATACAAGTGGAAAAAAATGCACAAACATTTTTGTGACACAGGTGCTGCAGAGTGAGGAAGGCTCAGGGGAGACAAGGCCTCTCATCCTTTGGAATCTGATGGGTAACCATGGAAACCTCCCCACTAAAATGGAGAAAAAAAGCGTGAAGAAACTGTTTTAGGCAGGTCAAGGATCCTGTGATTGCATGTTATCTTACAAAATGGATCGAACCAATTAGCAGAGAACCCAATCTAATCAAAGGTGCTGTGTCAGATTCTGAATATGTCTTCTTGACTGACTTTGTTTTTTAGTTTTTGTAGTTTCCTTATTCAAACTATACCAGATCATACCTGCAATTCATACTTTATTGAATGTGTGTTAGAAGCATTTTCAAAGGCACCAGGACCTAATTTGTAGACCTCACATAT